ATTTGAAGAAAACTGCTGCTGAATCATACCGATTACTTCGAGAAGCTTATGGTGAACATGCTCCATCGCAAGATACGTGTGAACGATGGTTTCGGCGTTTTAAAAGTGGTGACTTCGATGTTGCAGACAAGGAACACGGAAAACCGCCAAAAAGGTACGAAGATGTGGAATTGCAAGCATTGTTGGACGAAGATGATTCACAAACACAAAAACAACTCGCAGAGCAATTGAGCGTTAGTCAACAAGCTGTTTCCAATCGCCTACGAGAGATGGGAAAGATTCAGAAGACCGAAAGATGGGTATCGCATGAGTTGGACGGCAGGCAGATGGAAAGGCGCAAAAACACATGTGAAATTTTGCTTGCACGATACAAAAGGAAATCGTTTTTGCATCGTATCGTTAGTGGGGATGAAAAGTGGATTTATTTTGAGAATCCCAAGCGCAAAAAATCATGGGTAGACCCAAGCGCACTATCCACATCGACCGCAAGACCGAATCGCTTTGGCAGAAAGACGATGCTCTGTGTTTGGTGGGATCAGAAGGGTGTGGTCTATTATGAGCTGTTAAAACCTGGTGAAATGGTTAATGCTGGACGCTACCAACAACAATTGATCGATTTGAACCGTTCGCTGCTTGAAAAAAGACCAGAATAGACTACACAAAGTCATTTTTCTTCATGACAATGCTCCATCACATACGGCAAAACCGGTTCGCCACGTTGGAAGCACTCAGCTGGGAAGTTCTACCCCATGCGGCTTACTCACCAGACTTGGCTCCTTCCGATTATCACTTGTTTGCATCGATGGGTCACGCACTTGCTGAGCAGCGCTTTGGTTCGTACGAAGATGTGAAAAAATGGCTCGATGAATGGTTCGCGGCAAAGGGGGAAGATTTTTACTGGCGTATCCACAAATTGCCCGAAAGATGGGAAAAATGTGTAACTAGCAATGGAGCATACTTTGAATAAAGCTCTTTTTATCATTTCTTCCGAATTTAACATGTTTTTTTTTTTTTTAAAATCCACATTTCATACTTGTACACCTGATATATTATACAAATTTATTATTGTAAATATGAATCAGCAAACTTTTACAATTTTTTTATTATATATCTCACCTTACATTATTTTTATTTTACTAAAATCGATTTTCACAAATTCTTCACTCTTTTCACTTAATATTTTAATAAAATTTATTTTTAGTAATGTACAACCAGCTACTAGCTGGCGATATTATGAATAGCAAGATATCCAATCTACGAAGGCGAGGGCGAAACTACAGCGCAGTTTGTTGTTCGTTTTACGCAGTAGCAGCAGTGATGTAAGCAGAGTATCCTGGTATAAAAATGTTTTTATACCGTATTGCGCAGTTTTTTCACCACATAAAATATCTGCGCAACTGTCGGTAGACGTGTAAAGACAATTACGGAATCGCGCCCCTGAGCAGGCGATCGATTCTCTAACTTTTATCATGGTAAAAATGTGAGCCATCTCAGATCGTGTGATTCCCTAACTTTCATCATAGTACAATTGCAAGCAATCTTAGGGGAGTTCGTTCGGCAAGAAATTTCTTGTCGGATGGTAAAATCCGAGAAAGAAAGACTAAGAAATAGAGCGAGAGAAGCACCACACCTGACTGAATTGACTGAATTGACAGTTTTAAGGTTAAATATATAATTTTGTACAGTCCAAAGACAAAAATAAAATCAAATATACATGGTAGCAATTTTGTTACTGGGTGAAAAGGATGAAGAGGCCTTTGAGAATTACACGAAGAATGCTTAGAGATATTCATTTTTAACAGGACTTTGTAAATAATGACACAAAAATTTAGGCCCAGTTCCATAACTTACGGTTTACTTTTAACTACTTTTAATCGAAATTCGACTTATTCGTCATCCGTTTTCAATTCTAGAATTGGAAAAAAATTAGGAATAAATTGAAGTCAGTATCGTTCGCAGTAATGAGTCTTTTTGGCGTGATTTTTTATTACTTTCCAACTTTTATTTTCATGGAATTGATTAACGTTTTAATGCAAAATTTTTCATTTATTAGCTTCAATAATACTAGCTAAAACTTAAAGTGACTCACTGTGTCTGACACTGATTGGCCAAAAAATGTCGAGAACCGGTTTTTGAATAATTTATAATAATGTTTGTGATATAAAGGGTGTTTTTTTAAGCCCGATAGAACTTGAAATTGTAAAAAATAAAACAAAAAATTAAATTTTAATAAAAAAATTTTTTTTATTTCTTTCAGTATACACTGGCA